GAGAAGGGCAGGCCCGGGGGCACAGGACACGCCTGGGGGCCGGGGGTTGGGTGAGGGGGCGCGGGTCCTGGGGGCTGACGGCTCGTCTCTTGTGCGCAGGCAATTTCACCGTCCTGACCGCGGACTTCCACCTGAAGCGGAAGCTCGGCTACTTCCTCATCCAGACCTACCTGCCCTGCATCATGACCGTCATCCTGTCCCAGGTGTCCTTCTGGGTGAACCGGGAGTCCGTGCCCGCGCGCACCGTGTTCGGTGAGTCGGCCTGGGGCCCCGACCCGCTCCTGCCACCCTGCCAGGCAGTCGCCCACGGCTGCCGCGGGTTCTGTTCTGTGATCGGAGGCCAAAGGCCCCGGTCGGGGAGATGGGGGGTTAGGATTGGGGTGCAGGGTTGGGGTGTAGGATTGGGATGTAGGATTAGAGGAGAGGGTTGGGGTGTTGGGTTGGGGTGTAGGATTGGAGGACAGGGTTGGGGTGTAGGATTGGGGTCTAGGGTTGGGGTGTAGGATTGGGGTCTAGGGTTGGGGTGTAGGATTGGAGGATAGGGTTGGGGTGTTGGGTTGGGGTGCTGGGTTGGGGTGCAGGGTTGCTCTCTGAGCCAGAGTCTGGTGCACGGAATTCGTGCAAGGGGCTCGGTCCTCACAGCCCCGCCGGCCTCGGGCAGTGGTTCTGCTGTTCGGTCTAATGAGCATATTAGCTCTTTATTATACAGGATTGACCTCAGAGAGGGAGGGAGGGAGAGAGAGAAGCATCAGCGAGGAGAGAGAATCGTGGCTCTGCAGCCTCCTGCGTGCCCCCCACTGGGGATCGAGCCCCAGGCCGGGCCTGTGCCGTGTCCGTCGCGTTTGGATGCCACGTGGGGTCTGGGTGCTGGCCCTGATCCCTGTGTCCGCTTCCCGCTCCCTCCAGGGGTGACCACGGTGCTGACCATAACCACCCTCAGCATCAGCGCCCGGAACATGCTGCCCAAGGTGTCCTATGCCACCTCCATGGACTGGTTCATCGCCGTGTGCTACGGCTTCGTCTTCTCGGCGCTCATCGAGTTCGCCACCGTCAACTACTTCACCAAGAGGAGCTGGGCCTGGGACGGCCAGGGCAACGCGGGCAGAAACAGGGTACCGATCCGTTCCTCCTTCCTCTCTTCTTCCAGGTTCTCCTTAAAAAAAAACTATATGTATACATACACACACACACACACACACACACACACACACGTATTGATTTCAGAGAGGAAGGGAGAGAGAGAGAGAGAAACATCCACGATGAGAGAGAATCATGGATGGGCTGCCTCTTGCACGCCCCCTACTGGGGATGGAACCCACAACCTGGGCATGTGCCCTGACTGGGAATTGAACCCTGACCTCCTGGTTCCTAGAATGATGCTCAGCCACTGAGCCACACGGGCTGGGCTATCTATCATCTATCATCTATCTATCTATCTACCTATCATCTATCCATCCATCCATCCATCCATCCATCCCCCTGCCAACGGCACGCCCTCACGCTCTGATTCTCCTTTGCAGAGACGGGGACGCCGCCAGGGCCGGAGAAGCCTGTACGCCGCGAGGAGGAGGAGAAGGGCCCACTCGCCCAGCATCCCCCAGGGCGAGCACATCCCCATGGGGCCCATCGGACGGGTGCCCGCCCACCTGGCGTCGATCCCCGAGTCCCCAGTCAACGTGCCCGTCTCCTCCGACGACGAGCAGGAAGCGAAGACTTACAACAGTGTCAGCCAGATCGACAAGGTGTCCCGCTTCCTCTTCCCGCTCCTGTTCGCCCTGTTCAACGCCGTTTACTGGTGGACATATCTGTCCAAGTAAATGGAGTTGTAGGGCCTCCCCCCCCCCTCAGTCAGCCTCCCCTCCCCCCCCGCCCCCCAAAAGTCAGCCTCTTCACTCTCAAACCCGAGAGCCATAGATTCCGAGGAAAGGTTCCCCCAGAAGGGCTAATCTTAGAGGGATTTTCCATCCTAGGATACCATCTTTCAGGAAATTCTTGCATGTTTAATAATGCGTACGAATATGATTGCCTTGATGTTTCTACGTGCCGCGTCAGATGTTTCGAAGATGTCACGTTGATACACGAAACGAAGACCTTTCTAGAAAGCCAGAACGGCTCTGACACACGTAGAACCTGACACTGATAGTTTACAAGCAAGAAAGGTCTATTTGTTCCCTACTCCAAGGGTCACCTGACAATGCAACTTTTTATACATCCCACCGCATTTCATACAAAAATTTTCCGGCAAAAAAAGCAAAAAACTATTTTAGGGACCTGCTCACGGTTGTTACTTGACCAAAATTCTTGCAAAAAAAAAAATCAGAGATCACCAAGAGCACATTTTTTTTTTTTTCCGTTTCAGTCCAAAGGAAACCGTGAGCATTCATGTACAAAAACGAATTGCCTTTGCTCAATCTTACTATTTGGAAATTAAAAAAAGTCCCGCATGACTTCACTTTACTAAATAGAATAGGCAAATATTTACGCAGACAAATTAGATTCACAGATAAACGATTGCCCCCCACCCCGGGGGGGGGGGGAAACAAATTAACTGCCAAAAAAATAATTATTTTTGGGGGGAGAATAAGGGGGAATAAACATATTCCCTCTTCTCCTGCCACTGCCCCTACTAATTGGACCGTGAGAACGACAGAAAAGATGTTACAACAGAAAGAGGTGTGACGACAGTTTGGCCTCTGGCCCGCGTGTTCGCTGTCTCGATCTGACCACGCCTCGCTGCTGCCACCGTGTGTAACGCTTCTGTGGTGAAAACCTGTGACTCAGCCCTTTCAGCCTTTGGCTCCCTTGTGCGCGCCTTCTACTTGACGTACTGCTGCTCTGTTAGCTTTTGTCTGCAAGCCTTCTATGCTCACCCACCCCCACACGCACCGATGTTAGGGCTCCATGTCATATTTTGGGGGGAAAACACACACCCACTTCCCATCTTGGTGGACTCACCTCCTTCCCGAACTGGACCCAAGGGCAGCCCCCGTGACATCGCGTGGGGTGGGCACTGGCAATATCAGGGGGCTCCTTCGGGAGCGATTGATTGACCGCTGTGCTGTACACCTGACACTCATGTAAAATAATGTAAATATCAACCATCATTAAGAAATAAAGTTTGAAAAGCAGAGAAAAGTGGCCCCGGCTGGTCCCTCGGTTGGTCGGCGCGTCGTCCCCGATACAACAAGGTTTCCGGTCCCGTCCGCACGACTTCTCATGGGAGGTGGGGACGCGGTTTTCGAACGGCCGCCCGGAATAGGGGTGGCGTTGGCGGGCCCGGGTCCCGCGGTGCCCGCACTCACATCTCGGTCCCGGGAGAGGATGGGGTCCTGTGTGTCACGGAGCCATGATAGTCTCGACAAGTTCTCGGCTTCGTTACAGAATCCCCCCTCCCCGCCCGCCCCCCGCCCCTCGCCCCCACCGCCCCCACCGCCCCCCAAGGTCTGCCTCCTACGTCAACTTGCTGCACAGGCTTCAGTCCTGATGCTCGTGAGACAAGAACGATCCCCCGATC